ACACTACACTCAGATCGTGTGGCGTGACTCGGTCCGGCTAGGTTGTGGCTCGGTGAGGTGTAAGAATGATGAGTATATTTGGGTGATTTGTAGCTATGATCCTCCGGGGAATTATATTGGTCAAAGTCCGTATTAATGATTTTGATTTTATAACGAATCAAGAGGAATAATATATTGATATATATGGTTCTCTGACTTTTCATGAAAATTAGTATATTAGCTCTCTTTTTTTCTTGGCAAACATTTTAATTTACTAATTAGAATGTTAATCTAATTGATGTCATTCAAATCAAATCGAATTTTTTCATACCAACAAAAAAAAAACCAAAATTTAAGACCGAAAATGATTTTGGTTAAAATGGTTTCACATTTTAGAATTCTAAGAAAAAACCTAAAAATAAATATATGATTAAATGGAACTTGAAAGGACCCTACTAAAGAGTTAAAATGGTATGGTGGGATGGAAAGGACCCTACAGTAAATAGACGATTCAAAAGTTGAATCTCGGTATGGTGGGATTGAAAGGACCGTACTAAAGAGTTAGAATGGACCTCAAGCCAAGGTTACCCAAAATTCTAAAGAGAATATTCTTATCTTGTTGGTAAAATATCAATACATTTATCGCAGCCACAAATATAATCTCAACGACATGAATTTTCTACTTATGAATCGAGCTAGTAGTTCACGTGAGAAGTATGTGTCTCTTTACGGAGCTGATTACATCAATCAAATTAGAGGTTGTTTACTTTAAAAAAAGCAGAGTGGATTTCTTCACGGATGTGTGAGCAAATTCGAATTTATTAGAGATAAAGCTTCTAACATAAGAGAATCTGTTTTCCCTCAAAAAAAAAACATAAGAGAATATGTGAATTCTTTGTTTATTCTGCTTTCGGTGATACGTAGGCTATCAGATTGATAAGTGAATTCGTAACTCATGATGTTATGTCTATTTTTGTTAAATTTTTTTTTATCTCCAAAAGAGACATCAATGCAGATTCAATTCCGTAAAAGACAGTGAAGTAAAAACCAATCAATTACTAGAGCATTTTTCTACCAAGAAAACTTATTTTTAATTATCATGATAAGTCATTCTCCATTACAAAAATTTATCTCATAATCATAAGAAATATCTTAGGTCGTATCACGGGTGCTGAATTAGAAAGAAAAAAAAACTCACGAGAATTATAACTTCACGTGGATTACAGTTTAGAGAGATTATACATACGTAACTAATAAAACCAATCAAATTTTTACGATTCGTAGAATTAACGAAGGTTTTTGACGTTTGTTAACCAATAAACTTTTTGGATATTCTTTTAAAACCAATAAAGCTATGGGATTAGTTATGATAAATAATTATTTGTTACTCTAAAATTAGAATCTCATCCTAAATTTACGTTATCTTAAGAAATTTGTAAAAGTATCTTGGTTTTACCATTTAATAATTGAATGGAAAGAAACACAACTTCTTCTTTTCTCTGGTTTAATGGTGAATATTGAAATCCCAAAAATAGGCACGAGACTCTTGTCTTCAAGGCTTACATAAGGAGGGACAAACAACATAATAGAGATCTAACAACTCTTCACAAAACAATTTTACAAGAAAAATATAAAAATGTCTTTTTCTGGTTATAATAGCTTCATCATACTAACATTATTCTCTATCGTTTTAACTCAAATCTATGGTTACCGAAACCTAAACCGAATGGATGATCTTCAACCGGAAGCAACCCTAGCGGCTCACAACGAGGTTCGAGCCGCGGTTGGGGTGGCTCCATTGGTGTGGGACGATGAAATTGCTGCCCATGCACAAAACTACGCTAACGTTCGATCCAAAGACTGCAAAATGCAACATTCTACCGATGGAACCTATGGCGAAAATATAGCGGCCGGGTGGGTCCAGCCTGTGGACACAATGAGCGGTCCGATTGCGGTTAAGTTTTGGTTGACGGAGAAACCTCATTACAATTATGCAACCAACAGGTGTAGTGATGTTTGTGGACATTACACTCAGATGGTGGCTAACCAATCTACACGAGTAGGTTGTGGTACGGTGAGGTGTTTTGATAATACGTATGTATGGGTCGTATGTAACTATGCACCTAGGCCGATGGGTGATGCGAATACACGTCCGTATTAATGATTTTTGTTTTCAACGAATAAAAGTATGGTACTTATAATGTGTGACGTAATAAAAAAGTTTACAATAGATGCAATTATATCAAACCAGTTGGGTAATTTAAACGTTCTCATTAAAGGATTGTAATTTAGTGAATTGTAAAGTCATTATCAGTGTATCACAATCACACTATTTGGATGTAAATTTTGGAGAGGATCTATGTGAGTTATTGAAAATAAATATGTTTTTTTAGTCAAAACTAATTGATTCATTAAACCGGAAATGTGGTTCTACTGGACGGAGTCGGTTCATGATACAAAGCCGATTTGGCTAGGCCATGGGCCATTTGAGTTCTGATCACTCGGAATGTATACAAAGCCTGAAATTTTTAGATCTGAAGAAAGAGTGAAGATGTCTTGGATGATGTCATAGATGTCCAGGTGAAAACTTTGCGAGTTGATGAGGCTGATTAATTGTTTGGAGTCTGATGCAATTCTCAGATTTTTGAAGCCTCGATCCATCGCCTGGATCAGAACTTCTCTGATCGCCTACGCTTCTGCCATGAGGGGACTTGAGATTTGAGATGCTCCGATGGACCCTTGGGCTAAGATTGTGTTGTTCGGATAGGAGATGACCCAGCCAAGACCCGCTTCGCCTGTGTCAGATCTCCATGCCGCATCGATCGGTTCCTGATCAGATTGAAATGACGAGACTATATATTGGGAGTAGAGGTTGTGCAGCGAGCCACTCTTTCGCGTCCTGAATAGCTTTAACCATAGTCTCTTCCTCTGTAAGGTCCGGTTGTTATATGATAACATTCGACCGGTGTATCGTCCACGTGGCCTATACACTACAAGAAAACAGGCTTATTTCCGACGGAAATTCCGACGGTTAAGTTTTCCGTCGGAAATTTCCGTCGGTTTACCGACGGAATTGCGACCAAACGCAAACCGTCAGAAATCCGTCGGTCGTTGATAAAACCGTCGGTATTCCGTCGGAAATCCGTCGTCTTGTACCGACGGATTTCCGACAAATATAAACCGTCGGTATATTCTGACGACTTTCCGACGGATTTTCGATGTCGGCAAAGTTTGATTGGTCAGCGCATACCGACGGAACATATTCCGTCGGAATTCCGTCGGAATTCCGTCGGACATTTGATGTCGGCAAATTTTTAGTGGAAGGCATTTCGTTAGCGGTGGCCGATGGGATTGGTGGGGTGTTATGTC